GTTTCGATGTTGTTTTCCTACAAGAAACACACGTTTTTAATTTAAAAATTGGAAGAAAGTTTGAACATATTTTACAGCAGTATAAATGTTTTTGGTCCTTTGGGTCTAATTATAGCTCTGGTTCTGCCATCCTCTTAAAAAACTCCTTAAGATATATAATTCATCATTTTCATTTTGATTTAGAAGGCCGTTTTGTTTATATCGATGTTGATATAAATGACTGCCCATTACGTTTTATAAATATTTATTGTCCTAACAAACCATCTGATAGAAATGATTTTATTCGGCATCTTGAGAGTTATTTAGTCTCCTCAAGATGTATTATTTTAGGTGGTGATTTTAACTTTGTTCTTAATAATGTTTTAGATAAAACTGGTGGTAATGTTGATAAAATATCGTCAAGTTCTTCCACTTTCAAGAACCTAATTTCACAGTTTAATTTTAAAGATGTCTTCCGTTTTCATTTCCCTAATAAAGTTCTTCATACCTGGAGCAGCTCTTCGGTATCTTGTAGACTGGACAGATTTTATATACCATCTAATAAACTTTCTGGTACACATGATTTTCAAGTACAGCCTCTTATATTTTCTGATCACTCTTGTATTTCTTTTAAATTGAGTTTAAATCCAGCAGTGTCTATAGGTAGAGGTTACTGGAAGTGTAACAGCTCCAGTGTTATTTCCTCTGATTTCACATTTCAATTTCGCTCTTTTTTTAATTCATTTTCGTATCTAGTATCTGAAAAAGAACTTTCTTTGTTAAACTGGGATATTTTTAAAGGCTATATAAAAACATTTTGTAAGGAGTTTCAGAAAAGTTTAAACATACAGAGAAACGCAGATATATCTACATTAAAACGAGAATATAGGGACTTGACTGAGCGGGAGATGCTCAACCCGGGCCTTTTCTCTGCTCGTGTCTCAGAGATAAAGCATCATCTTTGTTCTCTTGAGGACGAGAGAGTGGATGGTGCTCGGATCAGGTCTAGATCTGATGTTATTGAAAATAAAGAACGACCATCTAGTTTCTTTTTTAAAAAGAGCATGATCGTGCTGC